GCGATCTGTTCAAGTTCTTCAATCTGGTGAGGACGCTGATGCAATGGATGGACAACGTGGTGCGCCAAGTGAACACCAGCGAAAAGCCGCGCGACGTCGGCGGCGCTGAACTGTTGATGAGCAATCAGAAGAGCCCTCAGGCAAAATGTAAAGTTGTCCACCTTCACCGTTTGCCCAGATATAACCATGGTCCAGGAATTACCTAATCGGGGCGATCAGTGTTTAGAAGGGGGGCAATGTAACGGAAATGGCCTGGGGTACTCACGTTTGGAATGGGGGGACCGAAATTCATGGTATTTCAGTAAATGGGAGCCCCATTTGCGCCCCATTTACTGTCAAATATGACACTGACAAGCGGGAAGTTTCGCACCTGTTCTGGAGATTTCTAGAACTATCTGGGATACCTAGAGGAAACTATATAAGCGAAGGCGAGAAACACACAGAGTGAGTGAAGTGAGCGAGCAGGTGCAGAAGAGGTTAAACCCCGCGAGTCGGAAACGCGTGTTTTCCGTGTGTTATTGTTATTGTTTATGAAGTTGACGGTAACTTTGAAGTTAGTTTATTTCTGTTCCGTAGTTAAAGTTGTACCGAGTGGAATAAAAGTTGGAAGCAGATGAAGGAGTTCGATACTCGCCCATCCACGGTACAGTATTTTGTATTTTATTTTAGTGTAAAATTATTACATTCTTTTTCGGAAAGCGTTTTACTTGCCGATGGTGTTGCAATATTCTGTGTTGTCCGCACACATCCGCAAGCATGTTGGTGTAGACGCTACGATGTGTGTAATATTTAATATGGGATAAACAGATCGATAAATAAAATTTATTAAACATTTACATTGGTGTAATGCATACAGTTACAACATGGCCAAGGCCGGTTGCTCTCTTTGCCCATGATCTAAATAAGCGCGCTATGTCGTCCATGACCTGGACAGTGCCTTAAAATGGACGCACCCGAGCAAGCCATACGCACGACAATCAGGAGATAATATTAAAGTCACGGTTTTGAGTTTATTCGAGGGGCATTCAATAAGAAAAAAGGCCAAAAACTTATTTTGCTTCGACCTTTAACATTGATAATGTCAGCCATGTCGTAAACCGCTGGCAGTCTCAATCAGTACAAGGCCTAGGCCACGCTTCCTCCCTCTCATCGGTGCAAAGACCAGCCGGCGCCAGCCAGAGCAAGAAAGCACGAATCCGACCAGTTACGTAGTGTTGGATTTTTGCTTTTCCTGTCTGCTATAAACGCAGTCTTGCTTGGACAAGAAGTATTGGTCTGTCGCCAAGTTTTCTTAGGCGTGAAATCCTCATGAAATATTAATATTATAATATAAGTCGCTTGTGCATACAGCGTTGCACTCTGCCATGATAAAATTTGCCAAAGATGGTATTTATATAGTTGGCTGTGTAGTATGGGGCAAATGTATCACATACTCAATAATCAGGTATGAGGCACATTTCTGAGAAAACATTATGGTATTGTCATATTGCAGAGAAAGTGTTTTCGCAGTTTGCACCAAGTCAGACCGAAATTAATTTGTGGGACTTTGCCTATATTAAAGGCTTTGATGGGCTCTATAATTTTAAGTCAGCACTATTATAAAAGATAATCCACATTACTTTGAGAGAGACTCAATCTACAACAAGCCCGTCAACATGAAAAAACATTCGAACTCTTAAACGTTAACTCCTACGTTTAAAGTATGTACCAAACTTTATAAATTTCCTTTTTTTAGAGGTTGCTGATTATCACCGTTTGCCTCTCCTACTGCTATGCCAGTGCTCAACACAGAACCAGCTCCAGTCCCTACCTCGGAGCTTATTCGTACTCGGAAGGAGGTGAGGAGTTTCCCTTCAGCCAGCTGAATGGACCTCATTTATACTCGCTAGGAATCGACAATTTCCTGCCATTTCCCGGAGGTATAGTTCTATTATACTATAGTCTAAAGTATTCTAAATGAAATTTATTATTGATCTTATAGTTAATTAGTGACCGTAATAATAATCAGTAAAAGACGTCTATATTTTTTAATCTCTAGACGTTTCGCCTATATTTAACTCATCATCAGGGCTTTAAAAAGCGAGCTTAGTGAAGTTGATACAATGTATGTCAATGACAGAGTGGTCATTGAGATGTAATAACAGTCATTAATAAAAATTAAAACTTAACTTTACAACAGATTAAAATTAGATCCTGACAAGCAGGGCATAAAATTAAAATATCTAACCTCTAACACAAAGATACCAAGTCTCGCCTTTAAAAAACAAAATTAAAATCGTCATCCGGTCAATACTATAAAACAAACTTACTGAGATCTGAGATACATTATGCCGCGTCCAGACCAAACGCCACGCGCTCGCAATGTGCCAAAATTTCAAGTGTGGACGTGGTACATGGTAGGCGTCGTCCTTTTCCATTGTTTGTCGGTTTTTCTTAGTCAGATCAAAGTAAATCGTTACACAGAAAAAAAATTAAATTAGATGCATGAACTGAGATTGCCGAATTAATCGATAAATGATATGATAAAATGCCGAATTAATGGAAAATAATGATGAGCTTATGCATTTGAAATCTTTGGACAACTGGCGGTTTTTCGATTTCAGGAAAGACTTTGGCGCTTTCCAAGTCCCAAATTTCGGCGGTAGCAAACTCAAATTCCGTTGAAAAACCAGTACAAGAAGCTTCGGAACCTGCTCCCCAACAGGTCACTGGTACTGCAATAATCCCTTTGCAGCCTCCTCCTGCGGTACCAGTCAATGCTGCTGCTGCTAATGTACCCACCAACAATGGTGCGGTTTTTCTGGGTTCAGGAGCATTGGGAGTCATTAATCTCGGCAATGGTGAGCTATTTTTTACCGCATATTTTTTTGTGTCTGAGATTGGGAGGCTCTGTCCTTGCACCCCACATACATATTTAAATTATACAACTAGAAATACTAAACTATTGTCTAGAAATTCGTTATTTTCTAGTTAATGATGACGACAACTTCAATTCTATCATCTATCTAATTCAGATATGTGTGTATCTATCTAATTCAGATATGTGAGACGTCTTAAAGACGTCTGTTGTTACAAATAAAGACGTCTTGAAGAGATGTCTTAAAGATGTCTTAAAGGGATGTCTTCTTGAAAGACGTTTTCAAGGATGTTAGGAATATTCTATGGGAAATTCCCTATTAGGAATGTAAAATAAAATAACATGTTTCCATTTCATTATTTTTTTGTATTTTGTCCATCAAATACAAAACGCAATATTAATATTCTATTTTGTTAGCAGATAATTTCGTTGAAGGTTTGCCACAACACCACAATAGCAAGAGTTTTTTAGTAACACCCAAGCAAACCAAGTGCATATAGTCTAAGGGAAAAGATTTGATATGTCAAGTTTGGATAGATTTTCTAAAATTGGCTCCCCAGTATGATGGTTGTCATCAGTTTTTTGTCAGAAGTCACAATCTGTCTTTATACGTAGGTTATGTATGTCAGGAAAATACACCCTGTCAGAATAATTTCCTTCAACATTACATTTTGAACAGGAGGAATAGTCAAAATGACCTTTAATATATTTTACATATGATTTTGCAGGAGCGTCACAAATAATTGCTTTGATATATACTGCAAAATGTTGATTTTGATACAAGAAACCTGTATTGATAACTTCAGTTGACCTGACTACATGAACTTTTATCAAATGGAAATCCGTCAATATTTATAAGAAGACCTGCTGAATTATTCAAAGGTGTTATTTGATTTTGGCCTAAACGGTTAAAAATACTGTTGAGGCATTTATTTAGCCCAAAATGACAATAGTGTCCGGGCATCACTGATTTTAGTTCAACTGACCTGTTTGAAGCAAGGTTCATGCATCCAAAGGCAACTCTTGCCCAACTTTGTTTGAAATGAGTTATTACTACTACTACTACTACTGGTAAAACTATCATAAGTAGGATAACCTTTAAATTCATTGTCGTCGGTTATGGAATCAGTATCCGAATTATGGCATAAAAACTCACTATCGTCATCGACATTAGGAATTAATGATTGGTTCACTTGTTGCACTTGCAACGTTGAGTTGTTTGAGCTTCACCTAGGCTGTGAAACGATGTCATCACTAACCAAACTCTCAAGGGAATTGTAAAGTTTCTGTCTTTCGGTTTTCACTTCAATCGGATGCACTTGAGCAAGTTCGTCAAAACGTCTTAAATACGTCTTGTGCCAGGCATTAACAAGACGTCTTGCAGCAGACATTTTTAAGATGTCTTAAAAGCGTCCGGTGCCCGGATTTACAAGACGTTTTGTAGTAGACATCTTTAAGATGTCTTAAAGACGTCTTCAAGAGACATACAAAGTTCAAACATAATAACGGCTTAGAGACGTCTTGTGTTGTCTGGGTAATAATGCTTAAATCTCGTTTTTGTCTTTTGAAAGATTTTCTAAGGGAGCTTATTAATTAGTCTGTTTGGCAGATAGCAACATGATTATCATTGGAAAAGTGCCTTGATGCATTCGCCTTAATGGTGCGGCACTTTCATACGGAACCTCATTATTGTCTATTATCTGTCATGTTCATATATTGTTCCTTCGTGGAATTTTCTTTAATACGGGGGAATTAGTAAATAAAAATATGCGATGAAACATATATATAATATATAATAAACGCTCTCACCTCTCGATTTTTGTTTCTTGATGGGCATCCATCCATGTGAAATGAAGGTAGACAAGGTTAATCAAAAACAAATTACATCAACCAAAGTAAAATTTGTATTTAGATACGAGACCCTGTGGACTATAATATATTCTCATTAAACAGTTATATTTAAACAAGTATTATTTTGAGTTAATTTTTTCTTACCTAGGATTTATGTTTAAAATTTAAACTACTGTAAATTGGAAAGTCTTTGATACTTCTTCATTATTGATCGTAAATTGAAATAAAACGCTTATATATCAAATAGGTTAGGTTAATAGTCGCTTCTTTGTAGTACGTTATGTTCTATCATCAATGTTGAAATAGACATTGCTATAATTAAATAATACTGTGACTATGTTTTAGGGGCCTTTGCTCTGGGTTCCGGCGGAATCGGGTACTCGAACCAAAGACAGCAACCCAGACCAAATGGAAGGTCGCCACTCTTCCCTCCACTACCGGCCAATCCCAACTTAGTACCGGCAGCCAGAGCCAGTCAGGTACCAGCCTCAATTCCTCAAACTACATGGCCTGGATTCCAGTACAATCAGCAACTGCTTAATCCCCGATCAACTCAGAAACAAACTGGTATCTGCAAGCCCCCAACTTGTTAAGCATTTTCTGATGGTTCGACTGGTTTCAGATCAGAACGGCTACGAACGTCTGGATGCGAGATCAGCAGGATTTGGTCAGCCCACTCCCCTAATTCGAGCACTCAAGACGCGCATGAACTTTGCCACGCTAAGTGAACCCCAATTTGGTGTACAATCAGGGGACATCAGCCAGCTGCCCCAACCGGGATTTGGTGACCCTATTCCCAGGCTTCCACCTCAAGCGCTGAGATACTTTTAGATCAGACGTAGCTATCGAAGAAGCTGGAACATTGAAAAGTGCCGTTTTCTGTGCTGAGTTGTGCAATTTTATGTTAAATTAATTGATGTCATTCTGGGTAAAAACATGAATATTTCATGGGTTTGCCGATCAAACTCTGCTAATGTTTCCACGTGTTTCTTTTAAATAAAACTTAAAACCCTTACAGTGTTTTAAATTAACACAACCTTAACTTGGAGATTCACATGTAAATCAATGATTAAGCCGCTTTTTCAGAACTCATGTTCGTTTCGATGAGAGGCTTCGGCTGGTTTCTACCATTTTCTTCTTCTTAGAGATTATTTTGAATCATCGACGGACGGAATCCATCGAACGCCATTTCTCGTCAGATTTATATTGCTTTCTCGTTTGTAATGTTTTCAACTGAAATCCGTAGTTAATCAGAGGTTTTGAAGTAATTTTTGATAGAAAGTCCAGTTCTGTGAAAATAGTCCCCGAAGTAGCAGATTACGATTTTGAAAAATTGACTTGACAGTTGACAAACGGTTTCTTTTTCGAAGGGCTTGGAAATCAAGGCTGCAGTAGGTCTGAAGCTTACATGTAGTTTCGTCGAAAGTGGGTCTCATAGAATTGATTGAGATAGCAATAAAATGAATGCGTCTGGCATTTAGGCGCCAAAATGTTTCTTTTGAGCTGTTCTGAAAGCAACTTCGTATTTGGATCGAGGTTTCACTAATAATTTTTGGCCAAAAGTCTAGCTCTGACAAAACAGTGATCGAAGTAGAAAATTAAGGCGTCAACCATTTTGGGAAAATCCAAGATCGCCTTAATGGAAATAAAATTTCGAAAATTATAGAGTGTAGTTCTCCCTTTCGAATTGTTTCGAAAAAGTCCACATTTGGTCTGGATTTATGTGGTATTTTTTTTAAACAATCCTGTGCTGAGGAAACAATAGTCCCTTTTTTAAACAACTTAAAGTTACCTTTTTTCAACAGATTTGAAAACAAGTCATAATTTAAATTCACGTTCATACTTTCTTGGCACATCAAACAAGATGCCCAGCACGTCCGTGGAAAAGTAAGAAAAAAATGAAGAAACTACAAACTCTTTATAAGCGGTTGCAAATTCGTTTAGTAGAAATTTCAGTATGTCAAATTTATTTTTGTCAACATACCTATATTTAAAGGGATTTAACGTTATGTGGATGACGCAACCATAATTTCGGATGGGAAAATGTTGTTTGAATTTATCGACGGGGGCAGAAAATTTTTATAATTTATAATTAATGGATGAGAGCGAAGAGACAGATAGGGATGACGTGGAGACTAAATACTTGTCTTTATTGTGTAAACTAAAAGCGCAAATTAGGCAAATGAGTCAATCTATAATTCAATTTCCACAACATGTTTCTACTCATTTGGAGACAGCTTCGGCAATGCCGCTGAGTAATACCAGGTTACCAAGTATAAATATTCCCACGTTTTCCAATAAAGTCGAAGATTGGCAAGCTTTTATAGACTTGTTTTCAGCAATAATTGGTAGTCATTCATTCTTGAATGATGTGCAAAAGTTTTATTTAAAGGGTGCTTTGTCGGGTGAAGCTTTAAATTTAATTAATAACTTGCCGCTATCCAATGAAAATTATAAACAAGCGCTGCAATTATTGAAAAATAGGTTTGAGAATAAATTAGTGGTCTTTAACGCACATTTGAAAGGTATGCTAGATACACCCCATATTTTAAGAGGTACAGGGAAACAACTAAGAGGTTTTTTTTAACACACATAAAGCAGCACGTTCATTCATTGGTAGCATTAAAATTGTCTATCAAGGAATGGGACGTCATATTAGTTTATCTTTTCACGCAAAAAATAGATTATTAAGCACATAGGGCTTACGAGTTGGAAAAAATATAGGGCTGATATATTCAGATACACAAACACTATTGCCAACTCTTGATGTATTTCTGACTTTTCTGGAAAAAAGATGCACTACTTTAGAAAATATAGAAGTCGGTATTGAGCGAAAAAGACAATTCATTCAAGATAATGGATTATGTTATAACTGTTTGACAAAATCGCATAGGGTGACAGAATGTCAAATAAAACAGGGATGCGTATCGTCTGAAAGAAAACACCATACACTTTTACATGATGAGCAATTGAGCAATGCTGACAGGGATACTTCTGGAAATAAAGATAAAGGATCAAGTAACAGTCTCAACAATTGTGATAATGAAATTTGCCGGCATCAATTCAAGAGCAAAGAAAATACACTTTTGGGTACAAGTGGGAACGAATTTAAAGGTATTTCACACGCGAGAAACTTAGGTATTTAAAGGGCGGAAAATCAAATACCTAAGGCAGGTATGTCACAGTCGCAAGTATGTTATGAACAATCTTTTGGCTACAGCAATAATTAAAATTTGTCTGGAAAACGGCCAGTATATTAATGCGAGAGCGCTTTTAGATTATGGATCACAAACAAGTTTCATTACAAAGAAACTATTTGATAAACTGGGCAGATGTGAAATTCGCAAAACTTTTCTCATGAATGGGGGCATCAGTAATAAAACAACTGAGGTTGAGACAATGGTTAACTTGACTTTAGAATCCAAGGTTAATAATTATACATTCAAAACGCAATTTGCTGTATTGGATAAAATTAAATGTACTCTTCCGCATGTCTGGGTAGATGCCAGGAGGGGAAAAATCGACAAAGAGATGAAATTTGTAGATATCAGGTCATATTGACATGTTGATATCTGCTGATTTGTATGCGCAAATAATTCATCCGCAAGTTATAAAATTAGGTTCAGGATTTCCAATTCTTCAAAATGCAAAACTTGGCTGCTTGATTTTTGGAGCAGCCCCAATTGTGCACCATGAGAACGATCAGTTACGTCTTGTAGTCTTGCTCAGTTAGACGCAATTGGCGATCATGAATCAGTCGACATTGATGAACTAATTCCGAAATTTTGGCAGATGGAAGAACAACAGAATAAAACTTTCTTCTCAAGAGAAGAAAAATTATGTGAGATTTTGTTGTTTGTGAGGTTAAAAAATGGTGGTTTTCAGGTAGATCTTCCAATGAGGAGCAATAAGGATTATCTGCAATTGGGCGATTCTTTTCATTCTGCTTATAGAAGGTTTCAGTTTCTAGAAAATAAATTCATTACGAATCCTGCATTATTTAGCGGCTACGAAAGCTTCATTGATGAGTACATTGAGCTTAATCATGGAAAATATATTGAGTGTAATTCGGAGGAAATTCAAAAAAAGGAATTCTTGGCACATCATTGTGTAATTAAAAATGATACGATTTCTACAAAACTGCGCGTTGTATTTGACGCTTCAGGCTAAACTTCAACTTTATTGGATTATCTTGAAACGATATTATGCTAAAGGTTCTACCGTTCAGCCAGAATTGTTCGACATATTGCTGAGATTCCGCACTTTCAAATTTGGGCTAGTATCCAATATAATTCCAAATCAAAATCATTCCTGGGTTTCAGTCATTTATTGTATCTATTTATCAATTAAAATACGTTTCGGTGTTTTCCACAATCATCAGTTTTTCTAAAATGACAGATAGTTCAAAAAAAATTGTTTTCATTAATTTAAAAAAACACAGTTCGTCAACAGTTTCATCATATCACACACTAAAATACATCACAATTGCAACACTTTTAAACATTCTAAGATTAATTAGGCCTCACAGGTGATTAGTCAGGACAATCAAATCTGGGAAGAGACTACAATTCTTTGTTCAGATACTTAAATATTTTTACTTACATGTGTAGCGTTGTTGCTACTTTAAGCCTTGGCATATATTTGGAGTATTAATTTTGTCCATTTTG